GGGCAGAAGGCGACGAGCGCCCGGTGATTTATACCTGTTGAACGCTCCAACTCCTGCATGATAGCGAACGATTGCTTGTGATTGCTTGAGCGATCATTCAGATATGGGGACCAATCTGCTTGGTAGAAGAGAACAATGTTAGGAGCGAGGAATTCCTGGACAGTCCACCCTCGTGTATTCCAAGTGCTGTTTGCGAGTGCACCAGAGTCTGACGAAGGCGGAACATCCGATAGGTAGACGATGGTGAGTGCTGAGAGGCGATACCAGACGAACATGGAGTTGACTGATTCTTGGAGCTCCTTATTGTTGGTCTGGTCAATGCAGCAGGTATCGCTCCACGCCCAGCAATACCCCGCTTCACGAGCAGTTTGGCAGAACATCTGCAACTTCACTACCGTTCCCACTGGATCCAAATCGTACACGGCCGTGTCCTGGATATTACACAGCAGTGGCTCCTTGCTTTCCCACCTATGTGATAACATGACCCAACGGAAGTACATCTCTACTGCTTCTTTGATGAGCCTCGTTTGGAGGTGCGCACGCGTCATTGATGAATACAAAAGCTCTTTGTACTCGTTGCTCGTCGTGAAGGTATGAATTTGTGCCTGTCGATCGCATAAACGTCCAGTGGAAGTGTTGATGAGACGAAGTGGGGCATTTTCAAGGTGTGCATGAACAGCTGTTCGAAAAGCATTTTCCACGTCTACTGGACTGACATACTGTTGACGCAGCTCTGTTTAAAGAGATCATCATCTAGTCGTCACATGAATTTTTTGGGCTTACTTCGTATCTCTGCATCTGGCGAATCATCCAACTTGCAGAGCATGGTTTTGAAGGCCTGGACCGCTTCACCATAGCGTTGTGCACCTTGAAGCGCTGTATGCTTAAGTTCGTAACCAACATAAGACGAAGGGTCGAGTTCCACGACCTACGAAATCAGCACGGTCAGCACGATAACTAGGAAAAACGATGGACATCGCACCTTTTCCGCGTCATCAAGGGCTTCCACATACAGGTTTTGCGCCAACTTCGCCTTACTGCGATGTGCAAAGGAGGAGTGACACGAGGAATCCAGCGCGATAGATGCCGAATACAGTTCAATAGCCATCTCATAGTTGCTTTCGGCGGCAGCGGCATCTCCTTTTGTAATACAGCGTGCAGTGCAGTGACTGCAGTCCTGTTTGAAGGCTAATCGACACCAGAATGAGTCTCGATGTTCAAATTGTCCAAGACCCCCATGTATTCACCGGTAGACCATTTGAGGAAACTGGGCTTTGCAGCCTCTGCAATTGTGCGGTGCATCATATACTGATGAGCTTCGACAGCTTCGACCACTCGATCGGCACGGAGGAACGCTTCGCACCGTCTTTGGTTGACGGTTTCCCATAATGAATCCAAGTCCCAGCCGAAGAGCTAACCAGTACATCATCATTCAGTGGAAGTGGCCTCTGCAACTTCGTAGTAACGCACCACTGTGAATATCTTCAATCTAGGTTCAAAAAGTGCTCCGCGAAAGAATAAGTCGGTTATACTGGGAATACCATCGTTAAGTCGATCAGCGGCTTCGCTGTACCGCCCATCCTTGAAAGCAATTATTGCAAGCTGCATGCGTAGATATAACTGACGAGTGCGTTCGAGAGTGAGAAAATTCATGAGGTCTGAAATGAAGCCTACATTGACAATGCTGTACGGAGATGTACCCGAGCGTTGATAGGTGGTGGAGAGTTCTTGAACTCGTCTCATTGCCTCATCATGACGATTGGCATTGAAAAGTGCAATAGCCTAGAAAATGTCATTGAAGCCTTATCGTGAAAGACTGACTATGAAAACAGTGACGAGAGTACCTTGATCAAAAATAAAAAGTCGATAGCAATCGGATCACGATTCAAAAATATGAAAGCAAGATCAAAAGCTTCCATTGCGTCGTAGAACTGCTGGTTGCCGCAGAGGGCGATGCCTTTGGAAATGTGACCCAATAACGAGGGTTGGATGGCAATTGACTATGTGACAAATCTGAGTCAACCTGTCATCGACAGCCTCATGATAAGCAGAGCATCTGACCTTGACTGCATCTTGTAGCGCACTCTCCCACTCGGAATTGCGCGCCCTTACAACTGAACGATCGGCATAGGTGTCGTGGTTGTTGCCATCTGCGTCGGTCTCTCGGGTCAGCAGCTCTTCATCAGGATGCAGGCCCCCAGCAATGGATGCATTGTGGACCGTCATGTTTATACCAAGGACTCTCTGCATGAAGCAAACTCACGTGTTATGATAAGTAGATGCATTGAAGGTGAACAGCTCACGTCAAATAAAGACTGTGTTTCTCCAGTGGGCTCGTCATTAATATTGTTGTGACCGCGCACCATGACAGGCAGCTGCGACAGAATCGAGTGGAAGTGAATAAGAAGGCCGAACCATGATTAGCATCAGAATACCTGTGTATCACTACCAAAAAGGAGTCGCAGTCGCTCATCCTCTAGTATCCTTTCTTCTGCATCGTGTTGCTCAAGTATGCTCTTAATAGACCAGAGCGAAACTACCCCATCTTCGTCTCCACTCACGAGCAGTTCTTCATTGGGAGAGATTGTGACACTGTAAACCCCAACGTCGTGTTCGAGGGACTGTCCTATTTGCTTGTGTGTTTTTGTGCTCCACAGCCGCACAGTCGTGTCTTTCGATGAAGTTGCGATGAAAGAGCCACCAGAAGAGATGGCGAGCGAGGTGATATGGTGAGTGTGACCAATGCAAGGTTGACCGATTTGGTCTCCGTTAGACGAGTTCCAGAACTTGATTGTTTGGTCCTCTGATGCAGAGAGAAATTGCTGGCCATCAGGTGACCACGCAACACCTTGAATACATCGAGACCATAATGAGTGAGCATCATGATTGATTTTGAGAAGTTCTTCGGCATTATCCGTGCGACAAATCCGGATAATACCGTTTGCTGTGGAGGCCAACTCCAGGCCATTTGGGCTGAATGCCACTGTGGCCACATATGTAAAATGACCTTTGAATGTTTGGAGGACAGCGCCAGTTATCGCGTCCCATATGATAACTGTTTTGTCATATGACCCACTAGCGAGTTTTGTGCCATCGGGGGAGAAAGACACCGCCCAAACAGAGTCAAGCTTGTGATTCGTCAGCTGTAATACTTTCTGGTTGCTCTCGACGTCCCAGATGATGATGGTACCGGGGCTGACACGCGATTCTGCACCGCTCGCAATTCGCGTCTGGTCTGGAGATACTGTAGAGATACGACACTAGGTTCGTCACAGGTCACAGCCATCAACGAATCGAACCTATTTGGTGTGACTGTCACACCAATTTTTTGGGGGCCGAAGCTAATTTGTGACACGTGGTAAAAACATACAGAAAAACATATAAAAAACATATAAAAAACAACAATGCCCAGCTAGATTCTACCTGTTACTTCTCAACTTTACAATAAGATATGAATCAGACAAGAACTTGCCTTGACAAAATCACGATTTCCGAAGCTATTTTTTATGTGGTCACAGGTGACAGGGTAATTCGAAGCTGTGACACTAAGCGTGACTTTGTCACGTGCTGCACGTGACGAAGCTAGTGTCGTATCTCTACAGTATAGCGACTGATTTCACCCAGTTCCGGTGTCCCTTGAATGGCTCTCCTACCAATTCTCCTTTCTCTACGTCCCAAATTCGAAGGGTGCAGTCATATGAAGCAGTGACGGCCCGTCGACTGTCTTTAAAGAACACCGCTGCCCACACTATTTCTGTGTGCCCTCGCATCGTCTGCGTTGGTGCTGGTGCCACTGCCCGCCCTCTCAACATAAGATACGCATCTCGTACTACATCAGGCACCCCTGACATGTTGCATTTACCTAGACAGAGACAGTCAGTAGCACTTGAAGTCCACGAGGAGCGTACTTTGGGTATGTATATGCTTACGTCGTTGATCTTGTGGTGAGTAGTGTTCAATTTCTGCCCACAATCCAACTTATGCATATGTGGGCGCTTGTATACGCTTCTTGTTCTCTCTGTTTTACCACGACGGTTACGGCTTAGATCTCAGGTGGTTTTCTCATCATCACTGCCTCCATACGTAACTATGACTCCAACAACGTGAACCCCCAGTAACATTGTACTTTGTGCTTGTATTACTGACACGTCGTTTCGCAGCATTTTTGGCGCCAAGCGTCTCATCGGTGGCATATCTTCCTGCGAGTCCGGAGGCCCATTTCCCCAGTGCCCGCACTTTTCCGGCTGATCTCCGATGTCGACTTTTCCTGCTCCGGCACACCTTCTGTAGGTGCACCAGTTACGGTGGGCTTGTTGCTGCACAGAGGCGCCTTTTGCAGGTGTATCTGCGCATCACAGTGGCAGCGAAACTCATTTCCTTCCTAGCGTTTCGGGCCAGTGGGTACCACCACTGAATTTGCTCTAATTAGACATGTGACATGCAGCAAATCACTGAAACGCAGCCCCTTCCGGTCATTTTACTCCAACGACCATGTCTTTTAGAAAGATCGACATCGACGTTATTCAACTTACAAGAGTATGGGGTTGCTAGGCTGGGGTGATGTGAATAGAAGCGTGCTCTTGGGGTGGCATGAAAAGGTGCGTCTGGGGCTTGCTTCATACATGAACTTCCTGACCATAAATTTGCAGCTGACAGAAGTTGCTGGCACTGGCTGTATCGTACGAGTAATGACTGATTGAAGAACTGTATGAATGAGCATACCGCCACTGCTAAAGCATTAGGCGTGTTTGTCTTTCAACTGCACGGGAGAATCAGAATCTCCAAACATTCCAATTGACATGGACGTCTACTCAAACAACAAGACCTCATAACGTTTCAGACTCTGCTACGAATTCGACTACAAATACATTTACGAAGAACGTCGCAATGTTACATCATGATCAAGGCTAGTGTTGATACAGTCACTGCAACATGGCCAGTACGGTGAGTCAGATCCCTGGCAGAAAGGCGCTAAAACTTACGCTAAATAGACCCGGCGCTCAGTCAATAAAATCCTCTTCTGTCAGAATGCGGCCATTGAGCATCTTTCCGAGGTGAGTTGGCAGATACCCCATGCCTTTCCTCCTCATTCTGAACAACTCCTTCAGTGGCGGAAGCTGGGATTGCTTGAACGAGCACGATGCTCTCGCAGAAGGGCGATTCTCCTCGCTGATGTACCCGTCGCTGTCGGCTATCAACTCCTCATTCCCTAGATCTGGTGCGTTGAGCCCTAAGAAACTGCAAGTGCGGAGATACATCTTGTAACTGGAGAAATAGAGCTGGCCAGAAAAAAGGTTGAGCTGGCAAATCAGCGATTCCAATGATGTCGACTGTGGTGCCGAAGGAACACAGTAGAGGCGAAGGTCATCACACGCCTGCATTGTCTTTGTGGTGCGAGGAGTATAGACGCACAAGTGAACCGCATTGCTTTTGCGGATACGAGGCAGTAGTGTGTCCACTTCGTTCGGGCTCATGATTACCAGCACTCCAAAGTGACTGGATACGACCCAATTGACGGGCCGCAAATAATCATCCGCGTTCTGTATAGCAGAGAGACCCACCGTGCGAGCGAAGTCATGGGTGACTAAAAGGTTGTGTGCCCACTGGTAACGCTCGTGAAAGGCAGCAGTAGTGTTGACAAAGCAGGATAGTGCTGGAATGAATGCAGAAGACCCCTCGGGAACTCGGCCCGTCTTGACGAATCGACGAACGTCCACATGGAGGACCTGGGCTGCAGGTTCCACCCTGGGCGGTCTCTCCACTTGACGCTCTCTCTCTACTTCATGCACTACCTCCCTTTCTTGTTCCTCATCCAGGTTCCTTTCGATGGCCGATAGATTCAGAAATCCGAGCTCCTCGCACTTCCTTTGAATGTCTGGGTGACAAACCTGGGATACCAGTGAAGATCTGCGCGGTGCGTACATATCCTCCAATGAACGCTCCTCCGGCTGCAACCAGGCTGTCTTCAAAGTCAAGATCGAAGTAGGGGTAGGTGAGAATTGAGTCCACGCGGAATGCCGTGTTTTGAATTCTGATCCCTGTTGAACCCAGTGTGGTGCACGCATTTGAATGTCAAGACAGGTCTCGAGCATCGCCCAGTGCAAAATATCTGCCACGTCGACATCGTCGATGTCAGCTTTCTGGGTCGCCGAACGAATGCTCCGGTCAACTTCAATCGGAGCAAAGAATATTATTGATTGCCCATTGCCCAGCTTCCGCATTCGCATGCATCCTGATTGATGATTGTCAAACCTGATTCGCATGAATTCTGAATTCACGAACCTTGCGTCAGACGGTCTTTCGTGACTTTGGGGCCAAGCGTCACAGCAGCTCGGAAACCGGAAGGCAGCTTGACATCTGTGCCTCTAGTATGCGCGTCGTCCAGATATATCACGCACTGGTCAAGCTGCTGGGCAAAGGGGGACGAAACAAGGGGCTCCACTGTCCCATCGCGACTGACAACGACAAGTTCATCATCGTCATTTACGAAAACTGCAGCTTGGGCGTCGCGCTTGGCTTGAAGCCATGCTTCGGCCAACTCTTGATTCTTCAATTCTAGCATCTGCGCACCCACATCCAGGAGCACGCGAACCTCAGGGATTTGTGCGATCAGGGCATCGATGAAATCTTGCATCTTTTGGCCCAGCGGCATGCATGTGTAACAATTGTTCTCCGAGCGCAGAAGAAACGCCAGGACTCGGGCATTGGTACTGCGTTGGTAATCAAGGTCACGTTGCACCATCGAGTTCGGTAGCAGATAACGATTGTCATTGGTGCCAGAAAAGCCGGTTGTGTAATGTTTCTTCTCTTGAGCGAGATCCCACCCGGAGTTGGTGAGTTTACTGGGAAATCCCTTCGCTTCCTTTGGGAAAACAACTCGTGACAAGTAGAAATCTATGACTGCCTTGTTGAATTCGAACAGTTGCTGAAGGTCATGGAGCTGCTCCGCAGATTTTGTATTGATTCCGCTAAGGTGCCGCAAACTTTCTGGGATGGACTGAATTCCATCCACCCAGGATTCATACTCGAGGGCGGGATTATCCTGCTTCAGCAGGAGCTCGAAGCACAACATCAGCTGCTGGAGCGTGAGACGTGCATAGTAATATGACAGGCACGTGAGGGTGATAGCTACGTCGGGATGGCCAAACTCTGCCCGCAGGGAGGGCATGTCTTTAGCGCGGAACGGAACGGCTAGCATCGTTCGTTTTTGGTGGAGGCCATAGTCCACGCGCCAGCGACGTTCTTTGAGGGCATAAACCAAGATTCCACATGCCAGCAGTCCACGCAAGACTAGAGGGCCGGGCCAGACGGTGGTGTGTCTATAGTTTTTCTCCACTAAGTTGATACAAGTATTGGATATCTTCTCAGTTGCGATGAACTTGCGGACGGCTTCTTTTACGTGGAAAGATGCCTGATCGAAGCTGATGTTTTGAAGTGCCCCAATGATGACATCCTCTGCGATCCATTGAACCAAAGCTTCTCCTGCTGCTCGGTGTAGAACTCGAACGAAGGGGACCCCTCCGTGCTCCCGAGTGCACACTTCTGTATGAGAGGGGAATTCACTCGCGAGCCGAGCGGCGTGCTTTGCGACAAGACTAAGCACTTGTTGTGTAGTTGTCCATCTTTCGGGATGACCTTGGAGCGACCTTTGGAGACCGACAGTGTACACCAGCTGGTAGCGGACGTGCAGAATTTCATCACTTTCGTCCAGGATGTCGCGCGTGTGATTTTCGAGCCACAACTGAGTCCGCAGCATGTCTTGAGCAGCATCATTCTGAGGTGACAGCTGGCGATCAACAGCCATGAGCTGGAATGATAGAATATGGTCCGGTTGCACGACCAAAATACCCTTGGCATCCATGCATTCTTGCATCAAGTCACGATACATTTTCACCTGCGCTGAGTTGATAGAGGAAGTGCGGGAGAATGGGATATAGAAAATGCGCCTCTGCGCAAGGCCGCTTAGACGTTCAACCAGGAGCTGGAACATCTGGGCAGATAACGACTTTAGTACGATTACTCGAACCAGTTTTTGGCCATCAGAAAGTGCGGCTGCTGCGAGGGGAACAATCACGTAGGATTTGCCTTCACCCATGTTCAGCTGGAGAGAAGTATTTCGTCCCGTGGATGGCGACATCATCTCCAGTGCAACCTTCACTTGGACAGGCCGTGCCAGGAACTGACTTTCAATCTGAGTACACTGTTATCAGTAGTCATTAACGATTGGTTTCTTTACAGCGTACCTGTATTAAAAGCCAATCAGGGTACACCTCAGGATCAAACCCCTCGCATTCTTCGTTCTCAAATTCCTTGAAGAACTCGACCCAATTTTTGTTGGCAGCAAAGATGAGTAGCCTTCGGGAGCGTTGTAGTTGTAAAAGTGTCTGAGACAGGTGGACGAGAGTAGTACGCCAAGCCTTCCCCAAACTATTTCCTGATGCGGAGGCCATGCGAGTGAGGAGGAAGTTTGGTGTAACTCGGGGCCACAGCCCAGCATTGGCCAATGCTTTCTCAGCAGCAGAAGCAGGGGAGAGGGCGTGTACGACAGCGGTGAGTGAATCTTGGAATCTCTGGCTATGCAGAGAATGGTGCTCAAGCAGTACTTCTGTGGTGTACACTGTGTGATCTGGCGGGATAACGAGCTTTTCTTCACAGAGAATTGACGTGCTCTGGTCTAAATCATTAGCATAGTTCTGGTGGAACCGATTGCTTCCTCGTGCGCGAAAGTCGTCGATCAGCTGTTGCAACCTCGTTGTGACACTGGAATATGGAGATACCGAATCTCTTCGAGTGGAATTGGGCAGAACTTCAAGTTGGGAAGACCCGAGCGTGCGTATAACAGGCGGGTTCCTGTCGAAAAGGAACTGGGCATCAACACATGAGGTCGGTGAAGCAGCATCCCCAAGATTCGAATCAGGATTATATTGTGAGGGTTGTTTCCAAGGAGGATCGGGAACGTAGAATCGGTTCAGGGTCAATTGCTGGACATCTAAGTGCTCCTTCAAACAGTGGTTTGCCCAACAACTACGAAACACTGGACGAAGTTTCTTCGACAATTTCTTGAGATCGAAGTAGCTTGTTTGCAGCGTATCGAGCGTTGGAAGGTTTACGCACGGCCAAGCAGTGCAAACTTCGCTCAGAATGACTTGCTTCTCAGGGCGGCACCTGTCTTCGAAAGCTGCTAGGCGACGCATCCTTAGAGCCTCGTCATTTTCCCCAGGCCATGCAGCTAAGTGGCTCTCCTCGCTGACATCATAACCTTTGGTACAAGAACTGATGAGACTATCCAATCTCGTATTGGAAGGCATAAAGCCATCAGAGATGTCATAGGAGGTGAACTTCGGTGGGCCTGCCAGGCAGCGAATTTCGGGAATTGTGGCGAATGCTAGGAGTGTTGGGACGAGCGCATGCACGTCCAACAAGCTGTACGATACTGAAGCTAGGGTAAACATCAGCTGAAATTTGTCCTTTGTCGTAGCACTACGACAGCAATCGTACGCAGAAAGGAAGATATCAGGAAAAGCCGGTTCAAGCCATTTTTTGGAGTATCGCAAGCTGAGCGGTTCGTCAATGCCCCGGACATTTTGCCACTGAGTCAATAAACTGAGGAGATTCTGTTGCACCGGAAGTCTGCTTGGCCACTGGTGCACCATGAAGGCAGTACGAAACGCCCTCTCTTCCGCATGTTTATCGGAAATATCATGTGAAGCATAGATGACATCTGTGTCACCGAGCGGAAGTGGAAGAGAAAACTGGTCAGGATAGACCGCTGAGGCACGAATGGACACGCGCTCGAGAAGGTGGTTGGTTAACGGTGGAAGATCAAAGGTAGGATGAAGGTTTGAAGACCCTTCTGCGAAAGTGGAAAGTTGCATGCCATAGTCCATGATGGATTTCGCGGCTGGATGAAAACCATGGTGCTGTGCGAGGGACACAAGGCACGACCATGAAACGGTCTGCATTTTCCGAATATGAGCGGGATACCAGACACGCTTGGTTGACAGCGAACTGATCTCACGCAAGAGATCTGCATCACGAGGGCGAAGCTTTGTAAAGGACAGACAAGCTGCAGAATGCAAGAGATGCAGCGCCTCCTCTGTCCCAGTTCGACCCGTCAGGGGATCAGGGAGACAGCCGCTGGTAATAGCGTGGAGGAGCGCCTGATATAGCTTTGTCGTCAGACCTACGCTCCCAGTGAGACAGCGTAGATCTGTGTCAACCCTGTACAAGTGGAATGTCTCTCGGGGACCTTCAGGAGTGATGGTAACCTGGACATGATGACCATTGGCAGAGTATGAGATACGACCGTCTGGGATGATGACGGTGTGTGGGTGCTCGTCCACAATCTGCGACTTCGGACGCAAAACGAGCTGGTTTTTCAATCCAAACATCGTTCCAGTCGACTGAGTGGTATCGACGACCATGTTGCGCATGTTACGGGACTGCATTTCCCCATCCTCGTTGACGAAGAATTCGAGACCATATCGAGGTAAATCAACCTTCAGCGAGGAGAAAGCACTGCCCGATGCTTCATTACATGTGACCATGATGCAGCAAGTGTCCTCAAGAGGACGCATCCTCTCGGAGATCATATCCCACGTTTGGCTGCGTATATCTATAAGAGTGGCACCGTTAGCATTCCGGAGTGTCGAGGAGTCCTGCAGATCTAGAGCAAATCGCAAGACCCAGTTTTCAGGCGAAGACTTCCATGCATTTTCCGCTGGCCGTATCTCTATTTCGCTCGTGTCCAGGTTGAGCCAATGAGTACATCCTGCTATCAAGGGCGTAGGTAAGTCATGCTCAAATTTATGGCTCGGAATGAGCTGAAGGATAGGTGAGCCTTGTTTGACATGCTTCGCGCGGACGATGAGATCGTGAGAGTCGCGGAGAGCGAAAAACACCTTCAGTAAGAAACGGATGCATTATTTTAGCTGCTGAGTGATAATAACGAGGGTGACTAACCTGATGGTCACAGAGATTTCCGCGTGTTGCATACTCCATTCCAGGAATACCAGCTGGAATGATGTCCAGAACTTGCTGTAATTTATAAGTCAGCGTAACCCAACAAAGTCGGTTTCAAAGGCTGACATCACCAAAAATCGATTGGTAGGTAGGATGTTGCACTATCATTGACGGGAGCCTGCCCAGCTGCTTCCCGTCAACAAGCAAGCACCCACTAATCAAGTCGAAGTGCACGGCTTGCGGTGATTGAGACCATGAACGCGCAGTTTGCGACACAAGCCAGCGAGAATTTGGAGCCGGCAATGCTATCCAAGGAGTTCCTCGTCTGTAGCTGCCCCAAATCTCTGCCATCGCACAATCGAGGCCCTCCCTGTGGAACTCCACATATTGGCGAATCGCAGTTTCTAATGCGTGACAACATCTCTTGTCTCGTTCTAGCAGTAGCTTTGAATGTTGTGAAAGATTGTCTGATTGGCTTGGAGTGTTGTCATATATCATGACCGCACAATATGCAAACACTTTGATGTCATCGTTCGACGCCAGAAGCAGTGAAACGTCTCCATCAACATCAAAAGTGCTTCGACAGGTGACTGCCATATCGCGAACGCGCCCTTGTAAGTCCCGGCTGACCGTCTCACCGTAGCTGGCCTGCATTTTCCGTGAAAGCTGCATCAACAACGTAAATGTCGCAGTTCGTATCCTTCGAAGGAGCAAATATCCGCGACTTTTGAGAGTATCTTTCAGTGTCGAGGACAAGACGCGGCGCACAAGCATAATGATAGTGCTGATCGTGATACCTTCCAACCAATTTTCTTCGACGCTCGCCGTTAAATCCTCCAGCTCTCCAAGTAGTGCATGAATGAAGGGCATGCTGTTGGGCTCGTCGTGCCAAATAAAGTCGACGACAGACGAAATTGGGCTGACCTGTGAAACAGCTTGCACGAACAGCATATGGACTTCCTCGCGTCGAAAATCGAGTATCCTCGCATGAAGTTCACGTAGCACGTTCATCCATTGCAATCGTGGTCCACTCCGCAGGGATCCGAATGCGATGAATTCGTGAATGGTCATGTTCTTGTGGCAATCTGCCTGGCGGGCTATGATCTCGTTCGATGTATGAGACGTTCCCGCAAGGTACGGCTGCAAAGCATTGTATGGTCCCTTGGGAAGGAGGAAAGTACACAACTTTCTAGAATTGCAGCGCAACAGTACGTTGGTGGTCCATACACCTGTGGTTGTATCGAAAGGCCGAAATACAAGTCCGTTGTTCACACAAACGGTGTCAAAATTCTTTGTGGGGATGTGAGTGTTGCTGTAATGACATTTGAGGAAGGGTTTGGCGTCCGACGCCAATGTCAGCCTCTGCCTTGGATGGCACTGGCGATAACGCTGCAATGCATGATATTCCGGCAGTGTCATGAAGGCGGGAGTGGGTAAAATGTCTTCTTTGGGAGTGCAAACATCAATGAGGACATGGAATGTCGTAGATCTCCACATCTCGAACGCGACAGGGCATCTTAGCTCAAACACCACCACAATCGCCTGATTGTTGCGGGCCGGTAGCGGCCACTCGTGAACTGTGATAGTCATCGACTTCATCTCCTTTTCTAGGCGACACTTTTCACAGCGCTTTAGCTTGTGGGTTTCCTTGCCGCGGGTGTTGACGTCATATGTATGCGATAAACTTGCTGCGCGCGTCTCCAGTTCAGCGTACCTCTCATTGAGGACGCCAAGTTCAGTTAACTTCTTCTTCCGCTTTACCTGAGCATCCGCTTCGATGGCGAGCTTCAAGCTCTGAAGCTCTGATGACTGGTCAAAATACCGCACTGCGAACGATTTCTCATCGATGGTAGTCGAGAACACCGACGGACAACTAGAAATACAATGACGAGCTTGAAGGTAGGCGTTTAGTTCCTTTAGGCGACCAAGAGCTGAAGGTTTGAGGATATATAGACCCTCCCAAAGGGCCAATGGAATTTCGGGGGGATATTCTGCCAGGAGTGGTATTTGTCCAACAACGATCTTATCAATGGCTACCCAGAGCTCAAAAAGTGTGGTGAGCATGATCGACAAATTCTCCGGGTTTCCATTGTAAGCGTCCAGCGCTCTCGAGGAATATGCAGAGGTGCACGCCTCAATCGAAATGCATGCCAAATCAATGCTCTGAGGAGAAACACGCGCGACCCAGTCATCAATCCCTGATCTAATGGCAGTCTCGAAGTCTGCGAGGGCAAGAGACGGTTCTGCAGCATGAGCAGCTCTCAGGAAGCTCGCATCAGCGTCAAGGAAATCGTTGATTGACCCGCGCACGTGATGGCTGGGATTGAATGGGGGTGGTTGAGGGGACGAATGCTGGTCCTGCAGAGCTTGAAGTATGTACTCTCGACTCGTGTTCAAGGAAAGATGGGTATCTCGCAAGACCCCGAGGGTCTCCGGAGCCCAAGGAGGTGAGGCCCGCTGCGCGTCTTGAACAGATTCCCATCTCTCTTCTAGGATACTCCTTACATTACCGGTGACCATACCAACCATCTGCGACAACTCCGGAGGTGCAGAGGGTCCAAGCTTGAAAAGACGGCGTGCGATCTTTGCCGACATGAAATGCAGGATGTCATTCGACACATCATAGTCGAGGGCAAGGGTTGTAAACTTCGCCATAAAGAACAGCATGAATGATTTATAAGTCGCTCGTCCAAGAGCACTGCGCTCCAGAGTTGTCTGTAAGGCAACGCGAATGACAAGCCAAAGTGGAGACCGCCTCCACGGCAATTTCGCGCTGTCCCACAGCACATCATCTCCAATGCGCTTGCGGATGCGTGGAACATCAGCGATGCGCCCGAGGCCACGCAGTATACCGGTCAGGAGTTCCATGA